AAAAGGGAAAAAAATAACATTTTGAAACTCAGAAATTTATTTATTTAGAAAGAAAAGTAATAACTTTTTAAAAGGAAACTACTGCTCTTTATAAGAAAAAAAAAGCCGTAGAACAAGGATGTTATTTATTCTCATGCCAAAGGCTAGTCAGGGACTTAAGCAGCTGCAGGACAGATGGTGCAACTGCCTTGACTTCCTGAGGGAATATGTAGAATAGTGTGGCAGTTACAGCTTTCTAGCTCAATTTTTTTTTCTGGGAAAAGGCTCAATACTTATCAGCACCCCCTCGTAAACCCTCCCTGAATTTAATAAAACAAAACACTTTAATGAAACTTATCACTCATTCTATACCTTCATCAAACCTTTAGCTACCTCCCCTCAGGGCAAACATTTTAACTCGCAAGATTCCGAGTCAGTTGCCTTCTCACGTTCAGGCACTTTTAAAAACACACCAAACGCGTGTCCCCTTTCAGCTGTTTTATTTATTTTTTTAAACTGCCAGCAAGGCAATACACTTATTTTCCAACTCTTTGCGGTTCAAAATATGTGTTTGCTTTTAAAAATCCTCCTAATATCGCTGCTGACTGCTGCATTCTTTGGGTTAATGGACTCGCAAAATTCGAATTTTCCAGTCAGCAAGGATTATTTGGGATTTTTAAAAAAAAATTATTGGGTCTTGGGGAAGGAATTAACTGATGCACCTTCCTGTCTTGCTAGTCTGGGCAAAAGAAGGGAAGTTGCATTTCTTTCTGGAGGCTGAGCTTCGTGGAGGGAGCAGCGGGGAAAAGGTACCAGCATGGGATGAGGATGATGATAAGGGGGGGGGGCGGTAAAAAAATGAGCATTTTGGGGGGTTTTTAATTTTTATTATTTTTTTGCTAGTTATAGAGGAGAGCTTGGAGGGGTGAAAAAGACTGTAGTGAAAAGATCCAGGAAGTCACTGGTTCAAATGTGCCCTTTTTTGCTATTAAGTGGCAAAGTGGGTGTTTTCAGGGGTTGCCAACTTTTAAACTGGATCCTGTAGCTGTGCAGGTCCAGCTTGATGATCCTTGGATCTGCAGCCGTGCTGACGGACAGAGTGGGTCAGGTCTCGTTTTTGCCTGTGCATGATTTTAAGTATTGAATTACTGTACAGTATTGTTATATAATTCAGCATGCATTACTATATAGCACAGCATTCTTATATAGCTCAATATATATTATTTTATAACTCAATATATATTATACCTTGAATTATTACGAGGACAAACGATTCGTGCCGCGAATAAGCTTTGATATGTTATACACATGGTTTATAAAAGGGGAAATAGGGGGATATAAACAGTTTAGGTGGGAGAAGAGGTCAGCAGTTTGCGTAGAAACGCCGGTAGGGTTTTCACATTCTACTACAATTTATTTATTTTATTTATGTCACCTATTTCTTCTTATTTACATTTCAACTTTTGAGGTTATTGCTGGTGACACAAACTGGCACCTCGGGCAGCCTAGAGCAAGAAGCATTTATGTCTGAGCTTAGTGCCACCGTAGGTCTGGATTTTTGGCATGAGTGTCTGCCATTTTAAATCATGCTCTCCCATTGGCCTAGAGACTGTGAGGTTATTTACCCTTCCCATTGTACCTTACTTCCAACTTATTTGCAACTCACATTCAAGAGGAGGAGTTACTGTTGTTTAGAGCTATCACCTTGATGCAGGGAATGTAGCTCTCTTTGCTTCTTCTTTCCATGGCAGTGGACCGAAGGGATAGGATGCCTGGGCTTTTAAAAATCTGTTCATTCAATGGGGGAGGCCATGAAGGGGGGGGAACAGCATGACACTGAGGAGTGCATTGCTTTCTATCACCTGCGGCAGGTAAGCTTGAGCCAAGCTGTGATGTAATCAGGGCTTTGAGCTGCCAATTTTAGTTATCAGCAACTTAAATAAATGCCAATCAATTTAATAGTTGATGTTAATGAATGAATGAAAGAATGAATGAATGAACTCATCTATTTTATTTATTTATTTATTTATTTTATTTATATCCCGCCTATCTGGTCTGATTGAGAACCACTCTAGGCGGCTTACAAACATATAAAACAGCATATATAAAAGAGCATATATATTTACCTCACGGCCTTTTTCCTTGAAAGGGACCCAACCAGCTTACAACATTGAAAGACAATATTTAGAGTTGAACACGATGAGTACACAACGGTGGTTAACAGCAAAGCTGCTTCATTAATATATTCCATTGTTGAGCTAGTGATTTCAAATATTCTGTTGGTGATTTTTGGAAGACTTAGCATGTTTATTGCAATGAATCCTGTGGCATCTTAAAAATTGATCTGGTTTATTATAGCATGATCTTTTGTAGATGGCATCCTGCTTCACTGGAGGTAGGAAGTGATATAAAAGAATTTTGATTATAATGTGTATTCTCAGAGTAAGGAGATGTTGGTTAGCAGAGATACTTATGACATTACGACACTGAGAGAGTAAAAGCAACAACTTAGTCTATTTACATATATACAGAGAGAATAGACATTCCTCTGACAGCATAACATGACATGTGACTTCGCAAAGCTATTGAAATGTATTGACTCGGCTTCAATACATTCCAATGGAGGAAACATTGTATCGTTTAACAATGTTTCCTATGGGTTTTTTTGCTTAAGGACGCCAGTCCGTGCCTATTGGAACGGATTAACCGGTTTCCAATGCATTCCTATGGGAAATGGTGTTTCGCATAAAGTTTTTTTCGCATAAGGTGTTTTTTTTGGAACCAATTAAAAACGTTATGCGAGGCACCACCTATTATTATTTAATACATTTTCATATCAAAATCTCAACAAGAATGTCCACCCCTTTGCGGGAGGAGGGAGATTTTTAATCAAAGAGAGGGGGGAATGGGGTTCTCCCATCATCACGCCTAGCCAGCGCCATTGACCGTGGAGAGAGCTGAAATAAATCACTCACTTTTAAGAAATATTTAAAATAGAATTATTCTCTGTTTCATCTTTCTCTGTCTTTGCAGGGTCCTTCGGAAATGCTTGCTTCGATGTTTGTTGAAATGCTGTGAAATTTTTGGATGAGCAAATGCAAAAAACGAAAATAAAAGCCCAAACCAACAAGCCAGGGCCGGCCCTGCCATTGGCCGAAGGGAGGCAGTCACCTCTGGTGGCAGAGAGGTAAGGCGAGTGACTATGATCCCTCCTGCCACTTTCAGAGGGGGGGCATGGCATTCTGCCCTGGCTCTCCGTGGCTTTCCAGAGCCAGCCAGTTCCTAAATAAAAATCCAGAGAAGGACCAGCGGGCACCCTTGGCTTCCTTCCGCAGCGCTCCCCCCGACCCCACCTAAAAAGGGGGAAAAAAGATGCAGACAGGTTGATCTAGAGCTGGCGTCAACTGCCTGGCTTGGCGCATCTCCAGAATCCGGCCCTATGGGAGGAACGACCAGCCCCATTGCCTGTGGCGATTCTGGTAGTCATTCCCCCAAAGAGGGGGCCTGATTCTTAAGAGTCAGGGGAACTCCACATCTGTGTGTAGTGGAGCTAAGCCCTCCTGTGTCTCATCCTTATCCTTCCCCAAGGGTGTGTGGTGCCCAGCTTCATGGTGCCACCAGTTTTTCCCCACCCTCCTACATCACTGGTTCCCAACCTTGAGTATCCCCAACTTTCTTGGACTACAACTCCCAGAAGCCTTTGCCACTAGCTGTTCTGGCAAGGCATTCTGGGAGTTGCATCTGGGAACCCAAGGCTGGGAACCAGCGCCATACAGGTTTGGGATCCCAAGACAGAGACCCTCACCTCTGTTTCCTTTCTTTTCTCTCTTTTTAATTAATTTTTAAGATTTTAAATAAGCATATCAATCAAAATAGCATAACAGAACAATACCTATTGTGTTACAATAATAACTATCTTATCCATAAACTTATATTTTCTCTCTCTTTTTCTCTCTCTCTCACACACAGACTTACTTATGCCATTCACAGTTCAGAGCACCATAGGGATCCCCAAACATGTCTAGTGGATTCCTTTTGCCGGTGGGTGGGGTAGCTTTCCTGGCTTTGAGGCATTCACTCTGGACCCACCTCTCTGGTGCCCTAAAGCTTGAGAAGTTTGTGGCTTCTTATTGAACTAATAAAGGTGCCGTTCAACCCGGAACTTTCCCCCCCTCGTCTTCTGTTCCAGGACACACCTTTTGAGTGGCAACCTGAAACCCAGCTTTGATAGCCCCAGACGGCTCTCACAAAGAACAGGGAACAGGACGGCTTGGCAGCCGTTTGGAGGGGAGGCAAAGGGGCCGGGGGAGAGGGTCGTTGTGAAGCGATCTGGAAATCTGGGGTGCCTTGACGCCAGAGGCAGCAGGAAGGAAAGAGCCCGGCCAATAAATAAATATTTTTTTAAAAGAAAAGAAAAAAGCAGAGAACCTTAAGTGGTGTCCTGGGCACCCGCCGTTGGGTGCCTGCGGCCTGCCTGACTGCCCCCCCTCTTCTCAAGCCACGGCGCCCCAGCCACCCGCC